AACCAATCGGCCCAGGAGAACAAACTGAGGCCAGCATCCATAGAAGCATCTGTTTCGCCATAGCCGCCGTTTCTCGGTCCAAGTGTTGTTGCCGTAGAGGAGGAAGACCTTCAGCACCAAAAGGCCGTTCGTGCGTCCTTGTAACCCAACCATCACTTGTCTTGCCTTCCGAAACTACATTAGTCCAGGTCTCCGTGGGCGGGGCTCCAATCACATCCGAGATTCTTCCCGTAGTTGCAGCCCATAACAACGCTTGGTATACGGCATTGTGGCGGTTGATATCCCACATCTTCGATTTCTTCGCGTCCACCTCGAAGAGCACTTTCCCAGCTTGGGACACCAGCTTCAGCGGATCATTCTGCGCATTTCCCTCTCCACTTGAGAAACACACCACCCACCTTCTTGAACTCAACAACATCTTACGCATTCTCCTTGTAAGAGGAAGCGCCTTGAGGTAGGACTCACCCTTTGCGGCCTCGAAGTTCTCAAGCATCAAGTTGTGGATATCCGCCGGGAGGTCCTTGGTGAACGGGCACTTCAAGAGAGCCTTCAGCAAGGTTCCCCGGTTGCCCTTTGCAGCAAAGTCCTTCAACAAATCCGGCCATTCTTTCGTCTCCTCGAGCTTCAACACCTCCAATCTCGCTTTGAGGGTGTCGATGTTACTGTTCAAGACATTCACCTGCTTCAACTCGAGGTCCCTTATCATAGCCAAAGCATCACAAGCAGCAACTTCAGGGCAATGGTTATTGACCTTCACCTTGACAGTCCCTCGTTCTGGGTGAGTCAAACGAAGCTCCGTGGGGCTCCAATGCAGAGTGTAGCCCAAGGTTTCTATCAAGGCTCCTAGGGGCACAATCGGCTGCACCTTACTGTGCTCCTCCTGAACCAAGATCGTGCCCTGGGCATTCTGCTTCAAGATCTTCTCGTCCTCGCCCGCAAGTGTGACTCGGACAGGTATTCCCGCCCTATATTCTTCTTCTTCAGCCTGCCTCATAGCGTGGCTAGCTCCCGAGTCAAGGAGGCCATCCGGCTCCTTGGTGGCAAAGTTCTTGACCTGAGCCTCTGCACCTCCCTTTTGAAGTCCATGCTCCTCGACGCGGGGAAGTTCGCCCCCACGGGCACCATTGTCCGAGGTGACCTCCAGCTTTTTCATGCTTGTAGCCGTCATCGACTTCAAAACCCTTCCAACATCAGCTAACACTTCTCGAATATCAGCTCCAGGGTCGCCTTCAGGAACGCTGCTCTGACGGGGCTCAGCAACTTCAGGTTTGTCGTCAATACGCACCGTCCTGGCAGCCGTTGGCGTAGTGGGACTCGTGGGGTTGGTCACTTCCTCCCTTCGGGGTTCCAGACTGAGAGGAGGGCGGCGTATACTTCTTGTTCGGGCAATCCTTCTGCATGTGACCCTTCCCTCCGCAAGCCAAGCATCTGTCCTTCTTGTCCAGGCCTTCCCAGCTGTGGGAGAAGGGACATCTATTGGTCCTCGCACATCCCCGAGCCGTCTTCCCGAAGAACTTACAAGGCACCTCGGATTTTGCCTTGTCATACTTCGCCGGCTCCGTTGTTGTGGTAGTAGAGGAGGTGCTTGCCGAAGTCGCCTTGGGAGGAGTGGAGCTTGGTTGTGCCACCTTTGGTTCCCGCATAGGCTTGAGCTTCGGCTCAGGCTTGGCTGAAGGCACCGTTGTGGTAGTGCTTGACGATACTCCCACAGCCAGAGCCTCGCATTCGCCCATCAGGTGTCAGTAGTAGCTCTCGATGGTCTCGTAACTGGGGTTCGTATCCACTCGGAGGTTCGACTTCAGTAGAGAAGTTCTGAAAGAAGCATCTGGGTTCTTCTCCAAGACTTGTCGTACCAGCCCATTTAGTCCCCGACAAAGCAAGCTAGGGTCCGGCGCCTGCACATTGAGTTCACGACATCTGCGGAGCCACCTGTTCCACGTCCTCAGCGATTCTACTGCACGTTGTGGATCACTTTCGGGAGCAGGTGCTTGAAGCTGGCCCAGGATTTTTACCTTTTCATTCTCTCCGCCAGGTTGATATATCTGTAGAAGACGGTACACAAGCTTCGTAGAGGAGTTTGCAAGGCGCCGAGCCACGGCTTCCTGCCTCACAGTCTCCGGGAGGGCCATAATGAGCATGGTCGCTGCTCTGCTGTTCACCCTCGCCCATTGGCCTCCCTCGAGGACTGAGATGTCCGGCATGATGGTTAGCTTCTCCACCGGGTTCGCCAGGGACCATGCTCCATAAGCCCGGTGGGCTTCTTTGACTACGCCTCGCCACCATGAAGCCGAGCCGTTGGATATGTCACTCATCGGAGCGTCGATGAGCTCCAGCCAATCCATTATATCAACACAGGCCGTGTCTGCTGCTGGGTCCGTGAGGGTCGGCAGAACGCTTGTACCAGGTTTGATACTTTCAGGACTCTGGTCCCCTTCCTTGCCCTTCGCATACTGTTTCAGCATCGCCTCCTGGAGCTGAGTAATGCCATCAGCCAGCAGCTCCATCTTGGTCTGCGAATCGCCCGAGCTGAGCCATTGCTGCGCTGATCGACCTTTTTGGGTGTCCTGTAGACCCTGGGGTATCTGCATGCCATTGCCTTCCTGGCCCATGCAGCTCGTAACGGATGGACCATGATTCCCACCTGGTACTTGGGCGCCTTGAGGTAGTGGACCATGATTCCCTCCTGGTACTTGAAACCCTTGAGGTAGTGGACCATGATTCCCTCCTGGTACATCTGCGACTCTAGGTAGTGGACCATGATTCCCTCCTGGTACATCTGCGACTCTAGGCAGTGGACCATGATTCCCTCCTGGTACATCTGCGACTCTAGGCCCCTGAGGTTGGAACTGAGCTTCACTCGACTGAGGTCCCCCTGGCTGCTTGGCTGAATGCTTCGGAATAGAGTGACCTTCAGGTAGTATTCCAGGGTACATTGGTGCACTCACTCCAAGTCCTTGGTTCGGAAGCGTAGGCAGCTGGTATACTCCTTGAGCTGGAATGGCATAGCCTGGCGTAGGATTTTGAACGGGTAGCTGTTGGGGATATTGTGGACCATGATTCCCTTCTGGTACATTCCGACTCGGTGGTAGTACACAACCCCGGGGTACGCTCACATCTTGAGGTAGTGGACCATGATTCCCTTCTGGTACAGACTGACTCTGAGGTACATCAGAACCCCCACGTAGATTCTCTTGTTGAGGTAGTGGTAGTGGACCCTGATTCCCTTCTGGTACATCCTGACTCTGAGGCATAACATCACGCACATGAAGATGAGCTCGACTCCCATCTGGCACATGTTGCCCCTGCGGAAGCCCTCGTGTTTCTTCGTGTCGCAACGCCCTTTCCTTGTCCCTTTCTTCTCGCAAGCGCACCACTTCTAGCTGTAGTCGTTCCAGTTCACCTTGCTGCTTTGCCTTGTACTCCTCCAACTGTCGCTGCACTTCCGCTTGTAATCGAGATGAAGACTCCGATCCTCCATCTGACCTCTGTGAGGGTCCATACAGCAAGGGGAATTCCGCCTGAGATCTCCTCATCCGCATCAACTCTGAAGGGCCGAATAGAGGGGCTGCTTCAGCCGCTGGCCTCTGTTGCATCCACGAACTCGGTGCTGGAGGCACCGCCATTGTCGTCCCAGGGAGCTCCTCAGGGGGCGAGATATTCGGCCCCAGCGGTGAGCCGTGTCCTCGCCGTGGTAGGGGAGGAACACCAAGTCCATCAAGAACTCTGTCAAATCCCTGGACACCACGATTGGCCGTAGACCTCAAAAACTCTGTAAAACGGGCCATCCACCGAACGCCTTGCACTTCCGCTCCAGAGGGCCCCGATTGGGCCGAAAAGAACTCCCTTTGCACATGCACTTCACTAGTCGGCGTCGGCGGAGAAGGAAAACCAGATGGGGCAGTCCTCATCTCTGTATCCACACGTGTTATAACGTTCGCGCCCACATGCGGTTCCCTTTCGTAGGGAGGCTCGACTGGTTGCGGTATCATCTGTTCAGAAGCCACTCCGGTTCTATCCACAGGCAACGTCATCTCCCCGGTATTCGGGTTCTCCATTGCAGAAGTCAACGACGATGTCGGTGGGGCTGAAGTGTCCTGCTGACGCAACACACCATTCGACAGCCCAGTTCCTTCGGTCACAGCTCCGTACGTGTTTCCTGTTGGTTGAGCGGAGTCGCCGTGTACTTGGGCGTACATAACCTATAAAAGCTGGTTGCGGTCGACGAAGGGCTTATGCAGTCGATGCGCCTTCCATTCACCGCGATCTAAGTTCTTTTCCACCAAAGCACATGTCCTTGCCTAGTTCAGGCTCTGAGCTTTTGCCAACTGTGCATGCTATACATTGGTATAAAAGCTGATTTGTGCTTATGCGGATTCGCAAGCTTGAAAGGCGATTGCACCGGCAGATTGCACTATGGCACAATCAAGTACACACGCATCTGACGGGGAGGATTAGGCATTTCTGCAGGGTTTTAGGGTTTGGGCCCAGCTTAGGGGCTTAGGGTTTAGCGTGTTTTTTGGTTTAGGTTTGAGGGCCCGGCCGTCTCGGACACACCAGGGGGGAGAAGGAGTTCCCAACAAAAAACTTTGAGAACCCTGCGGGGCCTGCAGCCCTACACTTAGCCCCTAAGCCCCAAACCCCAAGCCCTAAACCCCAAACCCTAAGCCCTAAACCCTAAGCCCTAAGCCCTAAACCCTAAGACCTACACTTAGCCCTAAGCCCGGATCACAAAGCTCTTTTAACACAACTGCCAAGCTCGACGGGGGAAAGGCCCTAAATCCGCGGGACCAGGCCCTGGACCCCGAACCCGAAGCCCCGACCCTTGAGGGGTTAGGGTTAAGAGTTTAGGGCTTTCGAGGCTTTAGGGTTTTTGAGGGTTTGGAGTTTTTGAGGGTTTAGGGTTCTTTGGGGGGTTTTTTCAGGTTTAGGTTTTAGGGTGTTTGAGGGTTTAGGGTTTAGGGCTTAGACCCTGATCAAGTTTGAGATCTCAGGTCCTGAAGATGCTCCAGGAGGCCTTCGTCCCCCCGAAGGACCAGTCGCTCTGGCACCCGGACCTCGCCAAAGCCACGCCCGCCAAGCTCTTCATGATGTTGGTGGACTATTCCAAGAACGAGAAGCTCGAGTAGCGTTTAGGGACGAGGGGTTGATGTAAGGGTTCTGCAAGGGGATCTATATGGGTTGAGGGCTAAGAGGCTTTGGGCTAGAGGGGTTCAGGATTGTTGGGTTTGGTGGACTTTGACTCTGCTCTCTTTCCAAGAAGATCAGGTCTGTAGTAACTTCGAGTTTCAGGGCTCAATGTCTTGAAGGCTTGGGCATAATTTGTGCTTTGTTGCTGCTTTGGGGGTATCATCCCCCCGCTCCTGGTAGCGACCATGGTAAGCCTCGCCCTCCAACCCTCCAGCCCAAAGCGCCCCAAAAAAGCGAAACCCCAGAGCCCTGGCCCGCGAACCCCAAGGCCCCCAAGACGGACGCCGAAGACCTCCCAAACCCAAGTAACCTCGGGCCAAAGACTTCTAGACACTCAAACCCGAAAGCCAAAGCATGCCAAAGCCTTATAAATCCTAACCCGGAGCTCCTAAGCTCTGCATGCCTTTTCTTGCTTTGACTTAACTGGGACTTTCCGAAAATTAGGGGACCTTAATTTTGGGGTCCTTATAATCAGGATCCTACTATTTAGGGTACTATATTAGGGTCCCCTATTTTCGGAAACCCCCAAACTGTGTGGCCCCCAGGAAGGGCGAGCCGGCGCCAGATCCCACCGATGGCGTGACTTGGCTCTCTGGTTCTTAGTAGGGAATGGGGGGAATGGGCTATTGGGACTAACTACTAAAGGGGACCTTAAGGGACTATCATAGGGATCCATTCCCCCATTCCCTACTAAGAACCAGGGACTTGGGATTTCGCGTGGAGGTCTACTGACAGGGTTCTTCTAGGCTCTAAAAGCCCGAAACCCTAAACCTTAGGACCTAAACTCTAAACGCTAAGCCTTAAAACCCTAAACCCTAAACTTTACAGCCCTGAACCCCAAACCTTAAAACCTTAACACCATAAAACCTTAAAACATCAAAGCATTAAAACCTTAAACCCTAAACCTCAAGCACGATTCCATCGGGCTTCAGGTTAAACTGGTCAGGGCTCCACAAGACTGATCTCCGTCGGGGTGCTCTGATGGGTTCTACTAGGATTCCACAAGGGTGCAAGAAAAAGGGGTGCTAGAGTGGTTGTGAGGGCTTTTGGATTTCGGGATGGGGGGTTTTGAGGGTTTGAGTTTAGAGTTTCCGGTTTTTTTGGCTTACTGGGGAATCAAGTTTGGGGTTTGGACTCTTTTGGAGTACTGACCATACAAAGGCGCAATGTGCCCAGAGATAAGGCACCCCAACGTCAACCTGCATCATTTGCAGGATTGTGAGGTCTTGCATCATGCACGAGAATGCAGAATCCCAGGCAATCCCTTCTTGCGTAGGAAGCTCGACCCCAGCGCTTCAGGTGATGTATGTCATCACGGAGGTGGCGCAGTACAGCCTGAAGGACTACTTTGCGCTGAAGAGGGAGAAGAACAAGCCCCTGTCACGCGAGTCCATCAAAGCCTGTGCGCGTGCCATCCTCCTCGTCGTGGCCGGCTTGCATGCCAAGGGCCTGGTCCACCTCGACCTAAAGCCCGAGAACCTCATGATGTTCCTGGGTCCTTGTTGGATAAAATTTTACATTTTTGCTATACTAAAAACCCAATAAGAATTAAAAATGATCATTGTTAAATAAAACCACAATAAGGATTAGAAATGATCATTTTTAATATGGCCCCAAAACAGGGAACCCAGGTTCAACGGCCGCCTGAAGCTCATCGACGTGGACGGCTGCGTCCCAATCGGCAGCGAAGTCTCCATCAACGACTCCTCCATCTCCTTCTCCCCGTGCTACTGCGCCCCCGAATGGGCCAGGTTCTTGACCGATGAGTCTCTAGGCTCCCCCTCAAAAAACGTCTTTTATCCCCCTTTTGTTCCTTGTGGGCCCCCTTCTTCACCGGCTAGTAGGAAGAAGGGTACTCTTTTTTTGCAGGGGCTACTGGGCCTAGGTCTGAGTCCAAGATCATTGCAAACGACAAGCTCGATGTGTGGAGCATTGGGATCACTCTCTGCGAGCTCGTGACGTCTCTTACCTCCAAAGTTGCCCCCCCCCCCTCCCTTGCGATGCCAGCTTTGCCAGATTGAGTTGCACCAAAGGGTCCGGAAACCTGCAACCCTAAACCCTAAACCCCCTTACGTAACCCAAATTCCGAAACTTTCTGCATCCTGAGAGTCGACACCCCTGGATCTTTCAAGGATGGGTGCGATCCCGAAGCCCATCTGTGCCTACAGTTAAAGCCGACCCGACACCCCCAAACGCCCTAAACACCCTACATAATTCCCCCCTCCCCCCCCATAAAAGCAGCCAGACAACCCTACAAAAGCTTTAGATGCTATGCTCCGTAAGCAGAAAGGTTGGATGCAATCTTGAAGCCCATGTATGGCAACTTCCTTCGCAACGGGCACTCCCACCGGGAAGCCGGCTTCCTGCTGCCGGGCCCTTCTTAGGCTTAGGGCTTTAGGGCTTTAGGGTTTCGGGTTTAGGGTTTTGGGCTTAGGGCTTTAGGGTTTAGGGTTTAGGGTTTTGGGTTTTGGGTTTAGGGTTTAGGGCTTAGGGTTTTAGCGGCCTTGAGGGTGGAGGGGCTTTGGGGTTTAGGGTTCTGGGTGTTGAGGCTTTGGGGCATTTAGACTTTTTTGGGCCTTCAGGGCTTTAGTTTAAGGCCTTCAGAGCCTCCAGGGTTAAGTTTAGGGTTAAGGGTTGAAGAGCTTAGGGACGGCGCCGCTTGGCGCGTCGGGTGCAGGGTTTAGGGTCTAGGGGCTTAGGGAGTTCAGCTCATGGTTGCGATAGCAAGGACAGCGTTTTTGCTTGTCGTGCACCCATACAACAGCAACTTAATTGAGTCCATAATAAGCCATATACTCTGAGACTCAAAATCCTTCAACAGATGCTACCACACCTCTTTGTAAACCAAACTTTTTACTATAGAACCTTCATGAGTTTTTGTCAAACCAATCCTAAAACCCCGCGCTGTAAACCACCAAAAACACCAAACACGACAACCCTGAAAAAAGCCTAGCCCCCGAAACCACAAGCGCCAAAGAAGGAAGCCTTGCAAAGGCGTAGGCTTTAGGGGTTTAGGGTCGATCCACAACCCTAAACCCTAAACCCTAAAGACTAAACCCTAAACCCTAAACCCTAAACTGTGTTACACCTCCAGAGACCCATCAAAAAGCCTAGGTTCATGGACTGGCTGGGCCATATCACCCGGGCGCCAGTCCCCAAGAGCATCGAACGCTTCGACAAGGATCCGGGATGGTTCAGGGTTTGGGGTTTAGGGTTTAGGGTTTGGGGTTGTTTCAAAAAACTTTTCCCGTTCTGATAGGGGCTTTTTTCGAGGGTGTTGTAATCTCAGGCTGTTTTTTGCATCGTTGGGGCTTCGGGGTTTACTTTCTTTGGGGCTCAGGGGGGGAGGGAAAACTGTCGCTGTTTCAGAAGGGTGTTGGGGTTGAGTGCTTTTTGTTTTTAAGTTTGTTTTTTAGAGGTTAAGGTTCTTCATGGGTTGACGGCTTGGGGCCTCGAGATTGCAGGACGCTTTTTTGGTACGGTTTGGGGTTTTAGGGTTTAGGGCTGCGCCCAGAGACCCTAAGACACAAGCCCTCCGCAGCGAGGATTTCCAGAAGCTCATCGTTGAGTCCCTCTTGGTTTGCGACTTCACGAAGAGGAAGTCTTTGGCCCAGTGCCTGTCCGACCCATACGTGGCTGGGAGCTGAAGTGGTAGGGGGTTTAGGCTGTTTTGGGTTCTGCAAAGGCTGTTGTTTTAGGTTCTGCAAGGGTTTGGGGTTAGGGGTGTTGGGGCTTGGTGTTTTGGGTTGCGGGTAAATACCACACCTTGCTAATACAGAGGCTTCGTGATATCAGTACAAGGTCGGCGCCATTTCTTTTCAACAAAGGGTTTCTGATATGGCGCTTTTATTTCGACGTCTTCTTTCAATTTTTATCTTGTTGCTTAGAATTACGGACTTCACAAGTGCAATTGCCTCAGCCCTAGCCCCTGTACACCCACACTTGCACAACTCTGTAAGAAGCCAAGGAATACGTGGCCTCTTCAAACCCCCCGGCAGCGTCTGAGTCCTAGCTCCCCGTGCAACCTAGGACCTCCAGGCCCCTGGCCGGGGGACACTTAGACTAAGTGAACGGATGAAGGAACCTGCCCAAGGCCAAGGCGAGTCTCCTCGAGGTTCTGCTGACGTAGGACAGTTTGGTTTGAACCATCTGAAACATGAGGGTTTGGGTGATGAGGGTGATCCTGCATGAGAGTCTAAACCCCAAACCCTGAACCCTGAACCCAAAACCTTAAACCCTGAACCCTGGACCCTAATCCCCCACGGCCCCTAGACCCTAAACCCTAGCAGCCTTTGAAACCCTTCACGATCCCTTCAAGATCCCTTCAAGACCCGAAATTCCTAAACCCGAAACCCTAAATCCCCAAATCCGGAACCCTAAACCCCATATTCCTAAACCCTGAACCCCTAAACCTTAAATCCTTAAACCCTAATCCCGAAGCCTAAACCCCTAAACCCCTCAGCCCTTTCAGAACTACCCCAGGTGGTGGAGACGGACAAGGGGTCCACGGGGCTTGAGGGCGGCGAGAAGGTGGTGCGACAGGCCGCTTGCAAGGTTTGGGTAAAAGAGTCGGGCTTCGAGGTACTTAGTAGGGTTTAGGGTTTAGGGTCTAGGATTCAGGGTTTAGGGTTCAGGGTGTAGTAGGGTTTAGGGTTTAGGGTCTAGGATTCAGGGTTTAGGTTTCAGAAGGGTTGGGGGTCTAGGATTCAGGGTTTAGGGTTCAGAAGGGTCTAGGGTCTAGGACTAGGATTCAGGGTTTAGAGTTCAGGGTCTAGGGTGTAGAGTCTAGGGTTCAGGGTTCAGGGTGCAGGGTTTAGGTTTCCGGGTTCAGGGTTCAGGGTTCAGGGTTTGCTTTAAATTCCGGGCGATGTGGAAAGCCTGTTGCAAAAATGGTTCAGCGTTTAGGGTTGGGGGTTGAGGGTTTCGGGGTTCGGGGTTTGGGGTTTTGGGGTTTGAGGGTTTATGTAGCTGATGCTTCAGGGATTCCTTCTAGGGTACAGGATCTGGCTGAGTGGGTGGAGCTCCAGCCTCAACAAGGTTCGGATCGGGGGCAAAATGTACCGTTCAAAGAAGGCTTAGAGTTGCTCCTATGGGTTCATGACGGCTTGTCTCACGTGGTGTGGGTAGCGTTCATGTGCAGGCGACAGTCTTCCTTCCCTAAATTCCTCAGTCCCCAAAAACCCTTCATCCAGCAGCCCGAATCCGCAGACACAAAGGCCCGAACACAGCAGTTTAGGGTTTAGGGTTTAGGGTTCAGCCGCCTAAACTCACCAAATCCCTGAGCCCAACAGCCGACAGGCTCGCCAGCGCTTCGAGGACACGTCAAGCAAGGCGCCTTTGTACAAGGGCACCTTGTGGAAGCTCAATGCCGACGGCAAGCCGGAGGACTCTACAGGGCGGTTTTTGTTTGTGCTTTTCTATTCCTTCCTTTGAACAAGTTTCGATCTTAAAGGCAAGCGAAGTAGCACAGCAAGGGAAGCAATAGGACACACAGGGCCAACCCTAATGCTTCCGGGTTTTAGGGTTTAGGGTCCATGCGTCAGGCTTTAGGACTTAGGACCATTGTATATGCCCTGTGTTTATCCCAAGAAGAGCAACAACAAAAGCGGAGGATGCCACGCACTGGCTCAAGCGAGACATGTGGGTCGCCTGCGACGGCTCCCTGTGCTACTTCAGCATCAAAGAGAACAAGCGCCTGGTGCTCTTGGATGGTATCAAGATGGCAGGCTTGACTTCGCTGCAAAGAAGCCGAAACTGTCATGGTCGCCTTCACATGGGGCCCATGAGTAGTTGCCAGTTGAAATCCCGAAATCCCTCGGCCCTACAAACCCTAAACGCTAAACCCTAAACCCTAACCTTGGTCAGGTGCCAAGGTCACCTCCCTGCCCAGCTCGGCACGCGACTTTGCTTTCCGTCTGGACTGCATCAACAGCGACGACCACGAAAAGGACATCACCATGTGCCTATGGGCTTTGGGCACAGGTTAAAGGAAGACATGGGCTAGCAAGCTTTGCGACAGTAGTCGTAATAATGATAGTACTGGTAACAATTGCATCAGCAAACGTGCTGAGTTGGTTACTGCTGCCTCTGGAAAACTCGATGTTTCTTTTTCGAGGGAGCTGAGCAATTGAGGTGCTTCTCCGCAGAGACCGATCAGGAGCATCAGAAGTGGCGTTCCTTGTTGTCGCAGGCGTTGGATTCTCCAAACCCAAGCCTAATCTGATCCCCTCTTGCTTAGACAGTCTCTATACGATGGGGTTTAGGGTACCGTGTGCCGCTCTCCACATCCGAAAGCTCCTGATCAACATACAATTCCTCAGGGTTCTGTTTAGGGTCTGGGGTTTTGGGGTTTGGGGTTTAGGGGTTCCCGTTTATAAACAGTTATACAGTTATACTATACAGGGCCCCAGCCCTGCGCTCTTCGCAGGCCAGCAACTTGGATGGCGCGATGCAGACGATGCGCCTGGGTGGCGCCGTGGCCGACGAGTTGAAGCAGTTCAGGCGCCCGGGATAACAAGAGATCTACCAGTGACATGCTACAGTATGTATAACAATATTCGCACAATCATAAAATGTATAATGTCAGAAGAGAATTTAACTTGATTCTCTAAGGGTTCTACAAGAATTCGTGGTTCCGGGAAATTCAGGGCTTTCGAGCTCAGCTCGGGGTTGAAGGCTCAGAGGCGGGGGTCAACCAGAGCCGTGTAAGGATCGTCCTTTGATGAGATGTCGCAGGGCTTTGGGGGGAAACGATTTAGGCCCCGGAACCCCTAAAACCCTAAAGCCCCCGCCCTGCGTCCTCCGAGCTGAGAAGGGAGAGTAGGGCTTTGGGGTCTCCGGATGGGGGACTGGGGTGAGCCCGAAAGCCCCAGAAGGCATCAGCCCAAAGGGCGCAAGCCCCAAAGCCCCCAAACAGGAATCATGGAACCTCTCATTGAGCCTTTGCAGAGCCTTGTAGAGAATCCTTCCCTGGTTCAGGCTCGCAGTGAAGAATCGCCGAATGAAGGTTGGCGAGGACACCAAGGACTGCGTGTACCCCTGGCGGGGGCCGGTGGTAGGGAGGACTCATCGGTTGAGGTCGAGAGGTTCAGGGGCTGAGGGTTTAGTCGTTTAAGGGCTTAGGGTTTTGGGGGTGTAGGGCTTAGGGTTTCGATGTTACGGGTTTAGGGTTTATAGAGCCCGACAGCTGTAACCAGTTTCGCCTCCCTACACCCCAACATAGCTGTTAACCGTTTGGGCCGGTTGGCAAAGTCAACTCGGAGAGCCCTGAAACTCTTGACCACGGATCCGTAACGTAAGGGGCCGTCTAATCCCTAAGCGGTAACCCTAACCAAGCACCGAAAACCCCTAGTAAATTTGAATCCCTATCGGTTCACTGCAGATCCTACTATGAAATGACAAATCTTAAGAGGCATTGCTCATTGCAGTGCTGTTGGCATCTCCGGAACCGAGGAGACTCCGAAACCTTTCTGTCTCTTAGTAGTTCTTCCCAAGCCCAAAGTGCACGAAGCCCTAAGCCCCTTGCCCATAAACTCGACTGTAGGACACTTTTTTCTTCTCATAGAATCCCTAAACCCTAAACCCCAAACCCCAAACCCTAAACCCTAAACCCCCAAGTCCTCGAGGACCAGTTTGCCCCGATCTTCAAGGCAAAGCTTTGGAAGGTAAAGGCCGAAGGCGACCGCAAGAAGGGAGAGGACTGGCCGCTCGGCAAACTAAGGGCCCCAGGCATTTTAGGGTTTAGGGTTTAGGGTCCTAAGCAACGGAACACATCAAAGTACATGTCTAAATGGCCTTGTCTATCAGGGGTTGGCCTTTTGGGGGTTGGGGTTTTGAGGTTTTTTGTTTAGGGGTTCATGGGCTAAGGGGCTGTCGGGCTTCTACCGTTGAAAAGAACAGATAAGACCTTCTTATCCCCATACGCGCCCTACTAACAAAAACCTTGCCCATTTAAAATGCCTCTACAACACTGCGAAATCCCGTAAACTCCTCTCCATGGCCTGAACAGGAGGCCAGATCACACCAAAAAACCCTTCACAACACGCCTGAAATTCCGATCCAAGGGACTCTTCGAGTTCCAAAAGTCGATTTGAAGCCCGAAACTCCTAAAAAACGCTACAATAAAACATCCCAGGGTTTAGGGTTTAGGGATCCCAAAGAAGCCCCTATAGCCTAAGCCTACGCCCTGAATCTCCGAAGGTTTGAGCGGGAGATGTGGATCGCCAAGAACGGCAGCCTGGTCTACTGGAGCAAGAAGGAAGACCGAGAGCTGGTGCACCTCGGGCCTTTCTGTGTTTTAGAGGTTTAAGGGTTGTTAGGGTTTTTAAGGGTTCCTGAGGGTTTTTTCCGGGTTTTTAGTGTTTTTTTAGGGTTTTTAGGG